ACTAAATTAGGGAGATCTGCCCTACTCTACGGCCTGCCAGAAGACCCACTGAATCTTCTTTGAAGAAATAATGTATTCTTCCTTATTCTGATATACTATATTCTTATTTTGAAGTCTCACATAGACATTTATGTGAGAGAAATAATTTCACATTTCCAGGAGGCTATCAAAAATACAACACATAAATATCTATAAATATGTACAGTCATCCAATTCCTTGTACAGCTAACTCTAACTCAATACATATCTGGACTCAATGATAAGGACCATATCCTTCTCTCATGATGTCTCAAGGCTTTCATTATAATCAAATCTGGCCTGGAAGTTGAAGAGCTCACTCATATCAGCATCAAACTTATTTTCCTAGATGATTTCAATCTCCTCTGTATAAGCATTTCATCTGCTAAGCACAAACACAAATGGGTCACTTTTAGTTAAAAGCAACTATAATTTTCAGAAGACAAGAAGTTGTGATATAATCTTCCATTACCTGGCATGATTTATATGCCTATAAAATACCCCAATAGCAATTATAACAGTAAGAATTTTCTACACAGCAGCAATAAATGACTCTTAAAAATGCAAACCAGTTTCAAGTGTGTGCATCACAGCCACTAAAAAGGAAGATCTTTTTTAAAAAATTAACCTTATTAAATAGTAAACCATACATCGAAAAAAAAAAGCACGTTAATACCAAGAAGCTTTACTACATGGCTAGGAATTAGATATCATTGTTCACATTTGGTCACAAATGATCCATACTGACAGAGACTCCTTGACCAAACTTGTAGAGCTCTTCTGATTCTCTTTCTGACTATGTCCTGACCTGGGGATCTTCTTTAATCCAGTGGCTCTGCCTGCTAAATCCTTCTTAGTTTTAGTGAGAATCCTGCTGAGTCAGTTTATAAAAAATCCCTGATCACCCTGACCTGCTTTCAACAAAATTCTGTCAGGCTGGTTTAGCCAGAATCTTCCTTACCCCTCATATTTCCTCCAAGCAACTCTCCATCCACCAATGCTGCACTATTCATCTTGACTATAATTCCCTGCTTTTCCTCATTATATTTGGATTTGAGCCCAATCTCTCTCCTTTATTGCAAAAGCCCAGTGTAGTGGTCCTCCTGAATAAAACCTGCCTCCCCAGTCTTTAACAAATGTCATGAATAATTTTTTCTGTAACAATATTAATTTAATTCGCTCAGAAGAAAAAGTTCCTAAATATTTATGAGCACTAGCTTTACATAGAAAAGTAGAATAATAGCTTCTATTTCCTTCTAGTGTTAATGGTCTATCGCAATCATTATCTTTGTACTACTTTGCCAACAACTTCTAGTAAGTCTTTCCTACAGTGCTAGGAACAAGCATAGAGTCATTAACCAAGAAATAGTATGCGTCAACTGATCTACTGACCTGTACTCATTTTCTAAACCTTATTAGAAATGCACTCTTTCTTTACCACATCAAACTAGATTTTCTAAAAATATTAACACCAAAGATAACTAACAATAAACATAAAGCTTTCTCCAGCTTAAGTCCTAATTTATTTTATTAGTTGCATTAAGAAGAATTTATCATCAAATTTCCTAATGTCCATGCTATATGCACCAAAAGAAACTGAATACTGATATACATTTTACAACACAGATGAGCCTCGAAAACAAGCTAAGTGAAAGAAGTCAGGCACAAAAGGTCACAGATTCTATGACTGCATTTATTTAAAATATGCAGACTCGATAGATCCATAAGGGCAGAAAGCAGATTAGTGGTTGCCAGAGGCTGGGAATAACTACGTAGTTTATATGAGGGCCCTCTTCAGGAATGAGTAAAAAAAGTTTTGGAACTAGACAGGATGGTTGTACAGTATTGTGAGTGTACTAAACACCATTAAATTATTCATCTTAAAAAGCCTAATTTTGTGATGTGTGCATTTCATTTCAATGAAAAAAAGAAGTTCAAATAGCGTTTGAGTATAAGATAATAATCAGGCTTCATTTAAACATGGGTGGGTTGGTTGGATGGTTTGTTCGTTTGTTTATTATGGCAAAACACTGTTCAGAGTTTGGTATTTTTCAACCTCACTTTCTTGTGATGTTTTCAACATACTCAAACTTCAAATACTTCTTCCATATGCCCAATATCCTGAAATTTAACCACCACTGCAATATCCTGATGGGAAGAATTACTAAATGTGTTATCTGTCTCATTCTCAAATCCTTTAAATGAGGGTTACTGAGAAGGCTGTTTAATAGTTCAGGCGACAGATATAATAAAAGCACTTTTTGCTAAGCACAAAAATACTATATAGCTGTAAATTTTTATAAGAGTCCTAGCTTTGACCTAAAGGAAACACCCTCTAAGAAAAGACATAATGCAGACTTAGTGTTGTATCAGATGGAATTTTTATTATATAACAAATACAACTGGGTACAATTAAAATGATTTATGTGTGGTAATTTCCAATGAATGCTGTGGGAATATAAAACATAATTCATTTTCAACTACAGGCTTCACTAAAAAGGAAGTTCTAGAACTTTTGGTAAGCATAGTGATCTCAAAAGCCCCCGTGATGACAGAAAAAGAATAACCTTTTTTTTTTAAGGATAAATCTGTAGGAAAAAGAAAACTGGAGTGGAGCTAATAGTAAAGAAGAGATAACAACACAATATTGGAAGGTGGCAGCATATAGATGAAACTGAGGGCACTGAGTTCCAATTTTCTTTACTTTGCTAAGTGGCTATCATAGAAGAAGCAGTGGGGGGAAGGGTGAATGCTCATTTCCATTGCAAAATCCAATTTCCACTCCAGGAATTGAAGATATTGTCTATCTATAAAGAATGGATTTCAGGGTAGAATGAAAAGCAGAACAATTGGTTTAAAGGTTTTTGTAAAAAGCTATTATTCCTTTTAATCTTATTCTGGGCGTTCCCTGTTTTAGAAAAGTACATGCTTTGAGGTCCTTATTACCCCTGCCATAAAGACAGAACAATGACAGATTAAAAAAAAAATGAAAATTAGGAAAGACACACATGCATAGAGAAACAAGACAAACATCTCCTTGGAAGACAAGAAAAACAGGAACATAAAAATCAGCCGAAGTTCTCCTGAACTCCAAGTGAAGGCAACAAGCAGGGAGCTAAAATCAGACTCATGAGATCTAGCAACTACACTTTAGAAAGGTTGGAAAACTAAGGACGAAACTTCTGCCTAAAACTAAAGATTTTATAAGTTGCAATTACTAAGTCAGAAGACAGAGCATCATAGAACCTTCAAGAACTCAATGACTTGCACAATATCACTGAAGATGGGAAGTGGGAAATGCTAATGTAAGACTTAAATAGCGCTAGTATAACTAATAAAACCTTGGAATGGAGCCTTGAGAAGGCACAGCAAAGGAAACCATCAACACAATGAAAAGATACCCTATGGAATGGGAAAAATATTGCAAACCTGGATGGCATAGCCTGCTACACACTAGGCATATGGTGTAACCACTGCCGTATATGTGGTCTATTGTTGACAGAAATGTCATTAAGTGATGCAGGACTATATACAGTGTAATATTATTTGGCTTTAGAAAGGAAATCCTTATATATGCCACAACATTGGTGAACCTGGAGGACATTATCTAAGTAATATAAGCCAAACAACAGCAATATTACATAATGTCACTTACATGTGAAATCTTAATAAAAAAATAAAATAAGTTCAAACTTATAGAAACAGAGAGTAGAAAGGTGAGTGCCAGGGTACAAAGTATCAGACATAAGGTAAAGATGGTCTGAGGAAGGAATGTATTATATGGTGACTACAGTTAATAACACTGGATTATATAATTCAAAGTTGCTAAGAGCAGAAAAACACTCAGATACACACACAAAAAAATAAGGATGTGAGGATTAGATGGATTATGTTAATAGGAAAAAACCTTCACAATGTAGATATATACACATAAATATATAACAAATTATCACAAAGTGTGCTTTAAATGTCTTAAAATCTCATTTGTAAATTCTACCTCAATAAGATGTGGGGAGGAGATGGGCGGGAAATGGATGAATTAACAGGACACTTCTAAATATCAGTGAAAACAACTGGCAATCTTTATATTTATTTCCATTACTGCTTAGCAAGTACTTTAAAGGATAATGAATTCAGGTGACCACTGTCTAAATTATCACCTTATAAAGAACAGAAGTTCCAATTAATGTTTTACTACATTTAAAACAGTCTATCTGACCTATTCTGTTCTGATCTCTGAATGAAATATGAAATGAAAATGTAAACTCCCTAGCAAAAAAGAAAGAAAATATAACCCCCCAAAACCCAAAAAAACTGCTAAATTGACATATATAGTAGAGCATGCAATAAATTAACAGATTCGATGACATAAACAACAAAAATGATTAAGGTTCTAAAAAAATGGAGGTATTCTTATTCATATATATCAAACTACAAAATGCTAAGCTGTGGTATTATGATTAAGGACCATGACACTGAATTATCTGTGAGCCTGTTACTGATCAACTTTTATTCATACTGAATTTTAAGAGCAAAAGATATTTAGAAGAATATTAGGCAGCTAAATTCCCAAAGGAATTCTGAATTAACTGTTTCTTGTATATGTGATCAAAAGGGTACTGGACAGCACCCAATGTGTAGACACCAATAAAATTTTTTCTGAAGTAAGAAACCTGACTCCAAACCCTCTCAATCTAGGTATTTTCTGATATAAGTATTGTTGCCCACATTGCTTATTTTTGGATTAAAAGTCATTAAAAAATCACTAAAAACAGCATTCAAAGTATAAGAATATTTCATCAAAATCACATCCAAATACCAACATTAAAAAAGGAAGAATATTATCACAATATGGAACAAACATGTGTAAACAGATAAATTAATTCTAAAAATACTCTTTCCTGCTAAAGTCTCGGTGATGTTCCTCTGCTCCAAAGTATTGAATACTACAATGTAGTAACAGAATAAAAGAAATATCTTACCTAGTTACTTTGCAGCTCGATTCAATCAAATCATTTTCAAAGTCAAGCAGGCTAGAAGGCAGATTATATTCTAGTGGGGATGTCAGTCTTTTCAAACGCAAGAGACCAACACAAAATTTTGCCCCCATCTCTTCCAATTCTCTAGTACCAATCTGTAAACCCTAGAAATAAAGCAACATTATACACAAAAGTAGGACACTTGCTATCCTCTGGCTATATATAATTAAAATTAAATGGAATTTATAACAGTATCAATAAAATTAAAAGGTTGTTACTTTGTATGGAACTAGGACACAATAAGCACAATGCCTTAACAGTATTAAGGTTATTCTAGTCACAAAGGAAAACTGTCTTAAAAACATTTCTACAGTGTCTATTCTCATTCACAATATGTGCAACTTATTTTCAGCAATACACTGGAGAGAAAAAAAAAACTTTGAGGTTATATTACTCTTGGAGTTCACATGTAAAGTTATATTTTCACAAGCTCTTGCTTTCATTTCTTATAATCTACAACACTGGATGCCAATGTTGAAATATTATACTGCTAACTATCAAGGTTTGAATTTGTATACTTGAACAATGGACTGTAAATTAAGACACTGCCTATGTAATTTTCAGATAAAAGTGAATCTCTAAAATAAAAGAAATCCTTCCACCACCAAGTTTCAGATGTGGATGACAGCAGACTTCAGTTAGAGAAGGCACTGTGAAAACAGTTTTTCAATGGCCAAACTGAAAACACCGGATAACTAAACACATAAACTGTAAAAACTGTTATCCTACACAAAGCACATGCCTTTATAATAAAAGGATTAATTGATTAGTTTATCCATTTCCCATCTATTCTATGAAATGTGACCTGATTTTATCAGATCATTTGTCTTCTTGATATAAAAACTTTAGAAAGGTTATGCCTGTTTCTGAATTAATTCATGGCAAATAAAAATAAAGAACAATCACAGTTTAAAATACAGTAACATAATAAATTTCTTGAGGGTGAAGAAAACTATTTCTCAAAATATTATTAGACACACACAACTTATTAGTTAACACAATTCTGAAAATTATATGTTGTGTTCAGGAGAGTGAGTAGCCGATGGAAGTATTTGGGATCACTGCACTTTCCATTCATTTTGCTGTGAATTCAAAACTGCTCTAAAAACAAAAGTTTATAGATCAAAAAAACTAAAGCATGTACATTCTACGATCAAAGAATTGTCTTTAGACATTAAAAAAAACACTTCGTTCAGGAAGACACGTCTCACTATAAAAGTTCTCAATGTAACAATGAAATCATGTAAAAGAGAAATAAGTATTTGTTATCCATCTTATTTTAAAAAGCTTTTTGGTAAGAATTTTTTATAAAACTGGTCTAATGTGCTTCAAAATATATTTTACCTATTTTGTAAAATGTGTATTTTTCATTGATCAAATTTATTAAAACACAAAAGGAACCCAAAAAATCCAATGAAAGTCTACCAGTAGAATCCAAATACAGTAAGAATGCACTACTGTTAGATGCCATACAGGAGACCTCAAGGGCGAAGCCAATCTCAACTCCCCTATCCACTCCTCACCCCAGCCTCAGGGGCTAGTTTCACAGACACTGATGCTTTAAGATGCCTTCTACAACAGGATTGCATAAAGCATCTCATTAAAAAGTAATTAACATCCTGTTTCCACATATCACATAGCCCAAGATTTTTTCCCCCAGGAGTCACCTATGGTCTCATGCAAAAATGATTCTCAAGCTTTTTCCCATCCCACAAACTTTGGAAAAGTTATCCACTGAAGCAATGACTACAGATTGGAGGCTGGAGTGGTGTTCATGCTACATTGTATTTCTCACCATCATCATGTCCTTGGTAGACAGACTAGAAGTTACTGGTTTTTTTGTTGTTGTTGTTTTTATTTTTATATTCCCCATATAATTGCAACTCCCTGATTTTGACCCCAATCCCTCCTTTTCCCGCCCCCCCCCCCCGTGTGTCTCTGGTTCATAGTTGTTTGTTGATTTTGATTTTTTTCTTTCTTATAGTTATTCTTTTTTCCTGGTCCCTTATTCAGGTTTTCTAGATTCCTACTATGAGTGAGACCATCCGGTATTTTTCTTTTTCTTTCTGGCTTATTTCGCTGAGCATGATCCCTTCCAGCTCCATCCATGTTGCTGCAAACTGCTTATGTTTATCTTTGAAGTTACTGTTTTAACAAGATTTGCGGAGAATTCAAAAGATATTATACTTTGGATGAATACCATATTATGGGCAATCTAAAATTCAGGTAAGAGTCAAATCAATGGCAATACTGGAATTTCATTAAGTTCTACTCTATTAGGCCACAAAGTTTGAATGTCAATTGCAGAATCTATAGAATTTGCCTCCATGTGTTACAGTCTGAAAACATCAATATTTAGGCTCTCCACTTTTGTAGAGCAATTGTAATACCTTTATATTTTTAATGCAAACCAATTAGAAGAGTTTATCTCTTTTCAATGTTAAAACCATCTTATCTTTATGTGAGGTATATGAAAATCACTATTAGATTAAGTTTCCTCTTTTTCCAACAGAGCACATGGAATAATTAGCGTGACACCTGAAAATCTTTCTGTGGGTAGGCAGGTTTGCTGTAATTTATGTAGGCATAGTTCATTGACCATTAATTACTAAAACATTAAAATTAAAGCTCACTTAACATTTTATAAGACTCTAATTTCAAAAGTAAAGTTTATTTTTTAACTTTTTTTTTTTTTTGCAAAGGAAGTCAGTAATTTTTTTTCTTTTTTTTAAACAGTGTTTGCTTCCCAATACCCCCTCAGGTTGAGTCCCCATAGAATTTCTTTCCCCAAGGCACCCGTGCACCATCGCCACAGTCTGCTGTGCTCTTCCCTCCCTCCCTTTGATCCCTCTCCCTTCTCCTCCACTGCAGTATGTCTCCGGTTTATAATTGTCTATTCTTGCTTTGTTGTGTTCAAAAGTAAAGTTTAAACTGAGGTTGTTTCCAATAAAAACCTATGGCACCAAAGAAAAACAGTCTTAGTAAAGAAAAATAATTTAGTGAAGAGACTGCATTTAAAAGTCTCTCTCTCTCTCTTTCTCTCTCTCTCTCTCTCCCCCCCCCTCTCTCATACAAACACACACACACACACACATAAATCTAAATATTAAAACTTTGGCAATATCTAAGTGGGATGCTGCCAATTCATGAATCATTGAATAAAGCTAATTAGATCTCTAAATTTGTGAGTTTTGTTTTTAAATAGTTTGGTAGAGAGACAGAATCCAAAGCAAATTTCCAGGGCATTCAGTTACATGAGAAACATAGGGATGGTGCCCTCAAACTGAGGACAGCATGTAAGTTCCTCACAATTTGAGTTCAGCTCTTTGCCTCTAGCTCCTGATCTAACAGGCTTTTTTGCCCTGGGCTTAGAGTGAGTATGGCCTTTGCCCTTGGTTTAGGTCTGGTACCTTTCCTGTTTCTGGGTCAGTCCTATTTACTAGAGTCTGCTGGTTTAATTCACATTAGGAATTGTTGGAGATACCAACCGGGTTGGGTTGAGCCCAACTAGGTCCAAACTAAACTGAGAGGTCCAGGTTTAAGAGTGTATTTTTCCATAAAAAGGGAGGTTCCAAGTTCCTTGCCCCACCTACGGAAGGGTGGAGCTGAGTGGTAAGGAGACTTGTAGAGAGACTTGAGAGAAAAACTTGGAGGAGGGACAGGGAGCAGAGGGACATTGTGAAGAAGCCATGATTGCTTCTAGGCCTTGGACTTGCACTAGGGACATGGGGGACATGGAAGGAGACACTTGGAAAAGACATAGGTGAGACCCAAGGAGAAACTGACAATGGCAGCATTTATCTTGACTTGTACTTTGATTGTGCTTCCTTTCCTTCCAGACTTGTCTGGGGCCTTCTGCCTCTTTCCTATAGCTCCCCACCAGAAAGTGTCTTGGACATGTGCTAAGCTTTTGGGCCTTAGTAGCCCCACTTTGGGCCAACCATTAGCTGGCATTTACCCATGAGGGGATGAGTAACTTTGGGTGCTTCATTTGAAAACTATTATCCTTTCTTCTCTTCTATTGCATACTAATTCTATTAAAATTCTTTTTTATTGAAGGTCTGATGCACTATGTTTTGTCTTTATGTGGTAGATACAGAACCTATTTAGAACATGCAAGGTTTAAGAACTCCCACCCCTTAGTTTGCCCACTAACACAGGGCTAGCTAACTGGGTTAAACTAAGTTCAAGGTGGACTGGACTGAAGTCAAGGTTAGCCAACAGAAGTCAGACAAAGTTAGAGATAGTCTGGGCTACATTTATGGTAAAGGTAAATATTCCAGATTGGACTAGGTCTGATTTAGTCAGCAGCTTTACTCTGGCTTCTGTGTGGGAACTGTAGAGAATTATAGTTCTCTGCTATTTGGAGTCCTTCCCCAGATTCCATGTTAGGAACTGTTGGTGGCCGTGGCAGTTCTCACTTTGCTTGGAATCAGTCTACAAACCCCATTTTCAGGAGTCTTTGATTCAGTCTATCCCCATTTCTTACTTGGTTACTTCTGGGTTTCACAGTTCCATTTTTCAGATATTGTTGGGGTACATGCACATAAGATAAAAGTAACTGCTAAGAAAATCTTGGAAACCAAAGAGTTGAGGTGGAGTTTAGGAATTAAGTTTAGGAATTAGTCTGGCTTTAATAAAAATCAAGGTTAGCTAACATTAATGGGATCCTGTATCTCTAAGGAGTTGAGTACTCCTATGTTGAAGAACTGTAATCCAGGAAATAGCAGTTATCTAGAAAAATGGCAAGATCTGGATGAAAATAACATAAAATTAGAGTGACCATTATGGGGAACACTCCATTAGGAAAAGCTTTATCTAAGAAGTGCACTTTGAAAGTAAGAGTTCCCATATTACTGAAAGATTCACAGCAAAAAGCTAATGAAAAATTAAAGACATAAAAATTACCTAAAACAGGATCGAACTGACAGGACTCCTACAAAGTTCCCTGTACTTTTTTCCTGAGTATTTACATTTTCGATTTCGAAGAGACTATATGATTGTAAAAATGAAGACTTTCAGGCCTCCCTGGTAGTGCAAGGGGTAAGTATCACACTATGAAGCAATTCACAGCCTCTGCAGCACGAGTTGGATCCCTGG